TCAGTAACTGAGGTAGAACTCACGTTCAGGTCAGATTCCACAGCTTGTGTTTGAAACATACTATTTGTGCCCTCCAGATGCAGGTTCCTACTATATATGCCACTCATGTCTTCTGATCTTTAGGAGGATAAGCAAGGACATTTCTAAGAAGGCTGGATTCAGGAAAAGTTTTTTCCTTTCACATCCTGAGCTAGACAACCATGCCTTCTGCCACATTTAATGCTCCGGCTCAAGGCCAGGGCGTCCTACAGTTGAGGATTCTTTATCAGTTTGCTTTGTCCTATCCTTAGGCAGACTCAACCAAATGTACTGTCCTTGGACAACTATTAACAGTTGTTGTTCCTGTTCACACAGCATTTTCCTGTTCACAGAGTTTCTTGATCTTGGTAATATTTATGTGAGGTAGGAAATCAGGTATCATTTCTCTTGGTGAGTGAGGAATGAATGGCTGAGACTCTCAGGCAGAGAAGGAAGAAGGAAGCCAGTGCTTGAATCTAGATCTAACTTTTTTTCTAACAATAGGCTCCCTATTCTCTTATTCTGTATTAGTGACAGTGTTGGTGCCAGATATTTATAAGGTATGTTTCTTTGTTGTTGCTGTTTTTTTTGTTTTTGATTTTAGTTTTTGAGACAGGGTCTTCTTTCGTAGTTCAGGCTGGTCTTGAACTCACTATGTAGCCCAGGTTCGCTTTGAACTCACAGTGATCCTCCTGCTTCAGCTTCCCAAGTACTAGGATTACAGGTGTGCACCACCATGCCGGTTTAAGAATGTTTTTTCAAAGCTATGCTATCTGCTGTTAGTTAGCTGTGCAGTTTGGGGGAATATGTTACAGAACAAAGAAAGGTGCCCGTCTAACTGTGTGATAAGAAAGTATTGAGAAACAAGTAGGGTGTGGTGGTGTATATCTGTAGGCCCAGCTACTCAAAAAGCTGTGGCAGGAAGATTACTTGATCCCTGGAGTTCAAGGACTATTTGGCCAGCATAGTGAAGTCCCATCTCAAAGGAAAAAGGAAAACATTGAGGTATACATATTTTGTTAAAGGTTAAGCTTAAGTGTGTTTCATGAAGGTGGGTGGTACTGTATTTCCAGAGTGTAACCTCTTTCTTACTCAGCATACTCATCTCATCCTTGGATTTTTTCTTAACAAAGATTCTGTACCCTTGAGTTCACTGTCCCCACCCTCATTTTTCGTTAATTCTGAGTCCTTTATTTGACTGCCCTTTTTATCACTGTCACTATCAGGAGAGGCAAGACAAAGAAACTATAATCAAAATGACTGAGTGTCCCATTCCATAAACCTGGGTGAGGCTAAGCTGCCCTTTCACTTCTGCTGGGAAAAAGAGTTTGTGGCCAGCCTGGGCTACTTAGTAAATTAGACCCCAGCCTCAAATGCATAGTGAGACTTTCTCAAAAAACAGACAACAAAGGGCCCGGGATTTAGCTCAGTAGTGCTGCCTACCTCGCAAGCGCAAAGTCCCTATGATCCCCAGTACCAGAAAACAAACTTGGAACAAAGAACTGTTGCTGCTTATTGTACCACTCTTTAATTTGGATTTCAAAGAGTAAAGCCTACAGATATGGGTAGAGGGAAACACAGAGGTGATGAATAGAAAATTTCTGGGCCTCTCTACCTCCCCCTTCTTCCTGACCTCAGTCAGTTATCACCATCACATTCTCTTTTTTTTTTTTTTTTTTTTTTTTTTTTTTTTGGTACTGGGGATCAAACTCAGGTCCTTGCACTTGCAAGGCAGGTGGCAGAACCGCTGAGCTAAATCCCCAGCCCTCACATTCATATTTTTAAGACTTCCCCCAAATCAGACATTTTCATAAACACTTAAATTTTTTTGTAAGTAAAGTTTTATTAGAACAGTCACACCTACCTGTTTATTATATTATATTACATGTAACTGCTTTCACAGTGCAACTCAGACTTGTCTGGTTAGGGCACAGATCATAATGGCTTGCAAACCCTAAAATAGAAGTAGCTCGAGCCATTTGTCCACCCCCGTGTTGAATTATGCTGAGTGAATTTCTGGCCTTGGTAATGCAAAGAACCCTTTCTCAGGATGATTCCACTTGTATCTTTGCTTTTACTCATCAGTATAAGAACAGGCTGCCTTCACTTTTCTCTTTGAAAGGTTCTTGCATATCTTTCCCAGTTCTTATATTTGTCTCCCCATATGTGGTTACATTTCTTGCCCCCTAAATTCATCTATTATTTTTAGAGAGAATATTTTTTGGGGGAGACAGGTCTCACCATGTAGCCCAAGCAGGCCTGGAATTTGCAGCATTCCTCTTGCCTCAGCCTGTTGAGTACTGGGATTACAGACACTAGACTCATTTAGAGAGAATCTGTTTTGTTGTTGTTGTTGCTATTTTTGAGCAAAGTCCTGTTGTATAGCTCAGGTTGGCCTTGAACCCAAGCTGATCCTCCTGCCTCAGTTTCCCGAGTACTGGCATTACAAGCATGTGATGCCAGACCCGGGTTGTTTTTTTTTTTTTTTTTTTTAAGACAGTCTCCTACAGTTCAGGTTGGCCTCAAACTTTCAGCATTTCCCCTGCCTCAGCCTGCTGATTGTTAGGACTACAGGTGTGCACCACCACGCCTGGCTAGAGAGAATTTTTTTTTTTTTTGGTACTGGGGATTGAACTCAGGTCCTTGTGCTTGCAAGGCAGGCAGCGGAACCACTGAGCCAAATCCCCGGTCCCTAGAGAGAATCTTAAACAAATTTTAAATTTGTAGACTGATATAAACATTTAATTTATGTATGAGCATCTATTCTATACACAGAAAATAGAGCAGGCTGTTGAATATGTTGGAGACATCTACTAAGTACAAGGCATTGTACCAGTATTTGAAAACACAGTTTTTCCTTTCTATATCTTCTACGTGCTCAGATCAGCCTTCTCAAGCATGGGACCAAATTTCTGTGTCCCTCCTGGAGTTGAGCTTTCTTTTCCTGCTTCCGAGAGCAGCAGTTTCTAAGCAGTTGTTGCCAGCTAACCAGCAATGCCACCAAACACAGGCAACTATGCCCTTTTCCTTCTAATACACTCACTCATCTGCTTCTATTCCCATTGATGCCAGTGATGCCCAGTGACTTTGAATGGAGTCCCCTTTGGGCCAAGGCCAGCTGAAGCCACAAGCTGGGCATTCAGCAGATTAGTCCTTGGTCTGTCCTGGCTGCCTTCTGCAAGGGAGGAAGTAGGGACAGAGTCAGCTAGCTGAGCCCAGGCTCGCAGCCAAGCCCATTTCCTTATGCTTTGGGCAGATTGTGTACTTACTCATTCAGCAAGCATTTATTAAACACCTTTTGTGTATACCCAGGAATGACCCCTCCTTTGAGAGAAGGAGAACAAAGCAGAGACCCCTTGTAGGAAAGGGGCATCCTTAAAGAGCTCTTGTTTTGGGGAAGCTTTTCCTTTTTGACTGGAAGCCTAACATCCGCTGGAGCTCCTTGATGGGAGGCACCCGGAGGTAGGAACAAAGAGACTACTAACATTAATGAGATGCATTGAGTGGGTATTTCCGCAGTCTCTAAAGGAAGACAGGTTTTTCCTCTTGCTTTTTGGAAAGTGACAGCTAACATGGACCAAATACAGACTATTTTTGACTCCGCGGACTCAAAGATGCTCTGAATCCCTTCTTCCTAATTCCCTCCCTCCTGCTCTGTCATTTATTATCACTTTCCAGCAGGCAAATAAATAAAGCCTTTTGATCTTCACCCAGTCAGGCACCAGAGTAAACTGTAAACAAAAGTGAACTTGTGACATAGGGATGGGAAGAGATGTTGGCAGCTTCTTCCTCTGCTCCTGAAAAAAGTATCTGTCCTGTCTACTGTGCCAGGTGGGCATGGTACCCAGCTCCTGAGGCACAAGGGGAATGCTGACCCTCATTGGCCTGCAGACTGAAGCTTAAGTCACTCTGAATATCCTCTTTATCAGTATCATGAAAAGTCCTAGTGGCCCCAAAAGCACTGTCACGCAATCCTGCATAGAACCTTCAATCCCCATGCCAGTTTGGCTAGTAGGCACTTAAGAGTTCCACATAGCAGAAGAATTCTTGGTTATATCTGAAAGAATTGGCAGATTCTGGCTCTCCATGATATGGGACTTTGCTGGATGTGGTGATACACACCTGTAACCCCAGCTTGAGGCAAGAGGATTCCCATGAGTTAGAGGCCACCCTGGGCTAATCAGTTGAAGGTCAGCCTGAACAAAGTGAGACCCTGTCTCAAAAAACCATAAACCAACCGGGTATGGTGGCACATGCCCATAACCCCAGTACGGGAGGCTGAGGCAGGAGGATTGCTGAGTTCAGGGTCAGCCTATACTACAAAGAGAAACCCTGCCTCAAAAAAACAAAAAGCAGGCTGGGGTACTCAGCCTGGTACTCAGTGGTACTGCCACCTGCCTAACAAGCTCAAGGTCTCAAGTTCGATCACTGGTACCACAAAAAACCTAAAAATAACAGCAACAAAAAAGAAACTAGATGTGGTGGCACACACCTGTGAACCCAGAATTCTGGAGGTTGAGGCAGGAGGATCACAGTGAGTTCGAGGCCAGCCTGGGCTCCATAGCAATACCTTACCTAAAAAGTGGGGGGGGGGATTTATGAATTTACTTCGCCATTGTGTTCTTTCGTTACTTCATTTATAAAATGGAGATTGTGAGCATACTTGCCTCCTGTAGCAATAGTGAGGAAAACTGAGAGACTATTCCTTGGCACAGGGACTGGTGCTCACTGTTTGTCCTTATTAAATGCCACCAGTACTTGTTATTGTTGGGGCTGAGGCTGGATCTAGAAAGAAGGCTATCAGAAACCCTAATTTTCATGCCACACCCTCAACAGGGGACTCTAGAAGGGCTGGTTGGCTTGGCACTGATGAGCTCCCTCCCTCTTTGCTCTCCCTCTTCTCTCTCTCTTTCTCTCCCTCTCCCTCCCTCCCTCTCTCCCTCCCTCGCTCTCTCTCTCTCTCTCTCTCTCTCTCTCTTTAGGGGACACTACACAGAAAATGAGAACTGCTCACTATCCTACCCCAGCCGAATTGGACGCGTATGCTAAGAAGGTCGCAAACAACCCACTGACTATAAAAATCTTCCCCAACAGTGTGAAGGTTCCCCAGCGGAAACACGTTCGTCGTACTGTGAACGGCCTCGACACATCAGCCCAGCGCTACAGCCCCTACCCGACTCAGGCTGCCACCAAGGCAGGCCTGCTTGCCATTGTCAAAGTGCCAGCCAAAAGCATACTCAAGGACTTTGACGGCACCCGAGCCCGGTTACTCCCTGAGGCCATCATGAACCCCCCAGTGGCACCCTATGCTACTGTGGCACCCAGCACTTTAGCCCACCCCCAGGCCCAGGCTCTGGCCCGTCAGCAGGCCCTGCAGCATGCACAGACCCTGGCCCATGCCCCTGCCCAGACGCTGCAGCACCCTCAGGGTATCCCGCCGCCACAGGCACTGTCTCACCCTCAGAGCCTCCAGCAGCCTCAGGGCCTGGGCCACCCTCAGCCCATGGCCCAAGCCCAGGGCTTGGTCCACACTCAGGCCCTGGCCCACCAGGGTCTCCAGCACCCCCCCAACCCCTTGCTGCATGGAGGCCGGAAGGTGCCAGACTCAGATGCTCCCCCGAATGTGACCGTGTCTACCTCAAGTATCCCCCTTTCGATGGCGGCAACCCTGCAGCACAGCCAGCCCCCGGACCTGAGCAGCATCGTGCACCAGATCAACCAGTTTTGCCAGACGAGGGCAGGCATCAGCACTACCTCAGTGTGTGAGGGCCAGATCGCCAACCCCAGCCCCATTAGTCGCAGTCTGCTCATCAATGCAAGCACGCGGGTCTCGACCCACAGCATCCCCACACCAATGCCTTCCTGTGTGGTCAATCCCATGGAGCACACCCACGCGGCCACAGCCGCACTGCCTGCTGCAGGCTCTGTCAACCTGCCCACAGGCATCTCTCGAGCCCCTGCTGGCTACCCTAGGGACCTCAAGTCAGTTGCCTGGAACCAGCACCAGCTGGCCCACCTACAACAGATGTGCAGCGAGGCTGGTGGGACACAAGCCCCTGGCCTGGCAGGCAAGCACGCAGCAGGACGCGAGTTGGCAGGGCCTGGCTTTGTGGGCAAAGCCCCTGCTTACCCGCAGGAACTCTGCCTGGCGCAGTCCTTCCATCTGAAGCCACCCCTGGAGAAGCCGACCCCATCCCCACCAGTCAACGGCCTGGCAGCCCCACTGGCCTATCCTAATGGTCACTACTTTCAACCCCTATGGAACAACATTCTGCCCACTCCCAATAGCGACAGCTCAGGGTCTCAGGACCTTGCCATGCCTTTCCACGGCGGGCAGGCCACAGGTGCACCCCTTGACTGTGCAGCAGCTCCTGGGGCCCACTACCGAGCAGGGACTGGGGGTGGTCCAGTGGCAAGCCAGAACAGCTTGATGCAAACAGTGGATTACCTGAGTGGGGATTTCCAGCAGGCCTGCTTCCGAGAACAGAGCCTGGCCGTGCTGAGCAAGGCCCACCGAGCCCCTGGCAGCCGAGCCCCTGACCCCACAGATAGTCGAAGTCTTCATATTCAGCATCCGGGGTATAGATAGGGAGGCGTGGTACTTTCCTGAAGCAACATGTCATACATTGCCCTCCTAGGTTTAGTCTTACTTTTAAGTAACTGGATAGTTTCAAAGTTTCGCTGCTCCAGTGTGATCATTCTTAGATGTCTAAGGAAGGGAATGTGTCAGGAACTAAAGTGAGGCAGAAGTCCTCCTCTTATCCTCCCCTTCAGCAACTTCTGTTTTTATGTTAGAACCTAACTCATGCCCTAGGCTTTTCTATTCTCCACTGCCTGCCTGTGAGGCTCTCCACCTCAGCCATCTCAGACCATCCTCCCATCTTTTCCTGAACCTCTGCCTGTTTCCCTTAGAACTGGGGTATGACTAAAGGAAGGGGCCTACGCCCCTAAACTCTAGGCCCTTTGACTCTCTCTTTGGGATTAAGAAGCCAGACTTTCCAAGTGCTCTGGAAACTTAATTCCTTATTCACCCAAAGATCTCAAATCAAAACTAACCCAATCTTCATCTCTTCCCAGCTCCTTTCCCTTACTCAAGGCCATAGCCTTGAAAAATGGAGAAAAACACTTTCTGTTGGTGTCTTGGTTCCTGACTCTCCTTCCAGACTTAGAGAAATGCGGTGGGCAGCTGGCATCCCAAGATCCGGTCTCACTGTTGTCTGTCTCCTAACTTAACTGCTGTTATCCCTACCTCCCCTCTCCCATCAAAAAAAAAAAAAAGCAAAAAAAGCAAAAAAAAAAATAATAAAACTACCTTGAGAAATTAGATAGATGAGGGATGATCACATTGGAGTTTGAAATTAAAAAACACCAAAAAAAATTTTTTTAAAACGCATTTGGTTCTCCCTACACTGGCTAAGAATATTGCTCTACACTGTATGTTTTAAATGTCATGTTTCTGTATGAATGGAGTGAGTTTGAGTAGCAAGCAGTTTGTATGAGTGGCCCCACAGATACATTGACCCTCTTAATCACCTCCCTTTGCAGCCCCTCAGATTAATGGAGAAAAAACAAAAACACAAAGCCTTAAGCTCTTTGAATTCTCTACCAAATGAGCATAGTTGTAATCTGCTGGAGATGGGCCTTTATTGGAAACAGCCCCTCCAGCCCCTGCCCGTTCTTAGAGCACTCCCTGCATCTGCTCCATGCTCTGTCTCATTCCTGAGTGATAATTAGTTGGCTAGAAATATAACTTTTCTCTGTAACTTCAAACTTAGATTATATTTTATTGTAAATCTTTGCACCCCTCTTCAGTTAAAAGATGCAGTTGGGCTCTGACTTTAAAAAACAAAAAAACAAGCCCTTTTCCTCGTTTGGGGGAATGTGAACTGATACTTAAAGTTTTGGGTTCTGTTTACTATCCACTCTTCCTTAGCCAGAAATTCTCTAGTAATCTGAAGCAGTGTGACTGAAGACCAGTTTTTAAATTATGTGTTGGCAAGTTGCCTTATGTTAACAAAAAAAGCCTGATTGTGTTATGCCAAATGATAGCAACATGAAATTCTGATTTATTGTCCTAATTGTTTTCCTGCGGTCTGTGAACACTGGTACCTCCCTGTTCCTGAACCCTCAGGAGCCCCTGCAGCTTCTGGTACAATGCCTTCTCCCCGGGTGTTGACCACCGTCTTTCCCAGGGTCCCCCTCCAGGTCCCACTTTTTGGAATCAAACTTACAGAGCAGTGCTGTCTCCCTTACCTCTTGCTTGGCGTCCAAATCAGATCTTGCGGAAATCCCCCCCCCCAAAGCCTCTCCCTGAAGGGTGAGCTGCCATTGTAGGAAACTGGACCAGGCACTAACTTGGCTTTAAGTCAGCCCATCTCCTCCTGTGTAGGGGTGCAAGTTTCTGAAGCTCACTCCCACCCCTAGTCTGCATGGAAAATGTACTGACCCCCCCCCAAATTGCCCTCACCTCTGGTGTGAGATGTTTCCTAGTTCAACCTGAATCCCCCTGCCCCTCCGCCAGCCAACCCCTAACCAGCAATAAGGGTCCAAGCCAGGACCTCCTATCTATACTCCTTGCCTCCATCCCACCACCCCTAGGTAAAACCTGGATTCCCCACTCTGTCCACATACTGTAGCATTCATTCTCCATCTCTCACCTCACCCGTGGTGGTTTATGGGCGTGATGGAGTTTTTAAGATAATTATAAATCAGTAAAGAGAAAAAACTCACCTTTTTACCTTGTCCTATTCGTTTAATGCAGTGAATATTTAAGGTGGTTTTTTATCTAGAATGGGACTGATACCTTTGTGACGGTGGTAGGGCAAGGCTAGACGGTTCATTCAGCAGCCCTGGTGGTGGTTGGAGGGAGGTCCCACGTTTTGCCAGGGCCTCTGTACAGCGATGGATGAGTATGGTAACCTTTCTTCCTCCAACACTTTGAGGGTCTCCAATGGGTAGAGGTAATGAGTGCTATAATATATCATGAAACTGCCCAGCCCTTTGTGATTTGAATAGTCTTGTGCATCAAATAGGAACACCCCCCCCACTTTAATCTACAGGGGAAATAAACCAAAAGAGATATTTGAACTACCCTCCCTTTTGTTATTTAGGTCAAAATTTGATGGAAGTAAAGATTGATCCTACAGGATGTAGGATTCTGGGAAGATGAAAAATCCTTGGTGTCAAGACTTTAGCATGTAAAGGGCCAGGGATTTGGCTCAGTGGTTCCTCCGCCTGCCATGCAAGCACAAGGACCCGAGTTCGATCCCCAGTACCAAAAAATAAAGTGTGTAGCTTTCTGAACACAGGTGGAGTTCAAATCACCCTTCCCTCCTCAGCCTCCCCTTTTATGTGGGTGCCCTTTTGTTAAAGTGCCTCCTTTATTCCTCCTGCCACCCTAGGAAAGCCCTCTATAGGTCACACTTGCAGTCTGCTCAGGGCCAGAGTAGACAGTGATTCCTGGGCTGAGGTAAATGTTTGGGGAATCCATCTCCCTGTGATGCAGAACTTGGCCCAAGTTCCACAAAGTATGATAGCACTGGAATGAAGACCAAGCCTGCTAGGCTGGCTGAGAGGGGTTCAGGTGCAAGGCCTCGTTGAGATGCTAGAAGGGTAGTTTTGCATCTTGCCCACTAGAAGCAGCTCCTTTGCTAGAACCCATGGTTTTCTCTGCCAATTTCCAGGCATCACTGTACCGAACTGGTGAGAGACCACATGACCTAGATGAACCCCAGTCTTCTGAAGAGAATACTCTAGTGCTCCACAGGCTGGCTGGCTCTGGTTCAATCATTCTGTCACCCAATAGAGGCCTTTTCACCTCCCTCTCTGGGAGAAAATATTTGCCCATGAACTTACCTTTACAGGTAAATAATTCCCATACATTGGGCCTCAAGGTGAGGCAAAAAGAGTAAGGTACTTTACACTGATTAATTCACTTAAGTCACTACAACAAAATCTAGGATATGAGAACTCATTTTACCAGTGGGGGTAGTAATCGTCCATGTAACTAACTTGCCAAAGCAAACCCAAATGTATCGCCAAAATTAGAAGCTACATAGCCAGGCTTGATGGTGCACGCCTGTGATCCCAGCACTCGGGAGGCTGAGGCAGGATTGCAGTGAGTGGGAGACCAGCCTGGGGGCTACATAGTTCCAGGTCAGTCTCAACTACATAGTGAGACCCTGTCTCAAAAAAACAAAATAGATGGGCTGGGGATTTAGTTCAGTGGTTTGGTGGCCTGCCTTGCAAGTGCAAGGACCCAAGTTCAATCCCCGGTACCAAAAAAAAAAAAAAAAAAGAAAATTGAAAGTTGCACTTCTAGGGACTGCTGGAGTTTAAAACAATCCAGAGCCTGGGGCTGGAGCTCAGGAGAGCACACAAGTATCATATACAAAGCACTGGTTGGATATCCAGCACCAGGGAAAAAAGTCCAGCTCCTGCCCCCAAGCACCTGAAGGAGCACTGATAATTCACATTTCTGTTCCAAGTTTATTGATAAAATTAAGGTAATCACAGGCATCCACTGACCCCTGTACAAAAAGAAAATGACTGCTAGGCATGGTGGCCCATACCTATAATCTCAGCACCTGGGAGGCAGAGGTAGGATCACCGAGTTTGAGGCCAGCCTGCACTACAAAGTGAGCCCCTGACATTCAAATGAGAAAAGCCCATCTAAGTGCCTTGTACATCTTGAAGGCCCCTTTACTCAGCCTAGTCCTTGGCTGTAGGCTGGACTTCACAGGTTAATATTCATTAAATATTTATTCTATCAAATGTATTGTCTCATTAACTCTCCACTAAGGCCTGTTTAAGACCTAATACCAGCACTTAGGAAGCAGAGGCAGGAAGATCCCCTTGAGTTTGAGGTCAGCCTGAACTACATAGTCAAAAAACAAAGTCCTTTCATTATGACAGAAGTATTTCACTTGTATTAAATGTTGCATGTAAAGTGCTTAGCAGTATTTAGTAAGTATTCAGAGAAGATGAGTGCACACCTGTAATCCCAGCTACTCTGGAGGCCGAGGCAGGAGAAAAGCAAATTCAAAGCCAACCTGGGCAACATAAAGACCCTGTCTTAGTTTCTAAAAGGCTCGATTAACAGTTTTGCAAGAGTGCTTGCCTGGCACGCACAAAGTCCTACATTCAATCCCTCAAACAGCAGGGAAAAAAAGGGCTCCGGGGCAATGACCTCTAGGTATTGACCAAAGTCTGGTGTGGGGTGGGCTCAAGGACTCCAGCCTTGAGACGTGGAGGCCATGCACCTCTTTCATCTAACCACCAGAGGGCAGTGGGTGACTCCCACAAAAGGCCTGTGCAGCTCTCCTGTTGTCCACCAGGTGGACGTAGAGCGGGCCAGTTGGATCCTTGGGCCAATCACTGGCAGACCTCTTCTCCTAGTGCTCCTTTGCCTTCAGTTGAGCCCAGCCTCCCGTGGCCCCAACCAACCCAGATGACACAGGCTGGAACCAAGTTAATAAATAGAATTAAGGATTTATTAAAAACCAAGGCTTCCCCTGCCGTGCCCTCTTGGCACTAAGGAAATAAATAACCAGAGGGGACACAGCCGGGGAAAGGGGAAGAGAAATCAATCTCAAGACAAGATTCTTTTTACTACCCCTCCCTTTCCCAACTCCTCCCCGCTATGGCTCTTGGGATAGCACCTGAGCAGGCACCTCAGTCCGAGAAAGATATAGCCGGCACCAAGGCATGTCTGCTCTGCCCAGGAAGGGAGACAGGCCCTGGGATCGCTTGTTTCCAGCCCTTGATAACCCCAAGACCTGCTCCCCTCGCCAGGGGCCAGGGCTGAAGCACCAATTGGAGGGACCTGAGGGTGCTGGTGGTAGGGGGAGATGGGGGTAACAGAACCTAGGCAGCAGAGAACAGCTGAAAGGGGATCCGGCCCCTTTCCAGGTCCAGACAGTGTCTGACAGGTCACGTCCCATCCCTCTCCCCTCGAGCGTGCCAGCTCTGCACTCAACTGAGGATCTTCCTGGGTAGTTCAACAGAGGCACGGATGAACACTGCATCATCCCGCACATAGTTTCGCTTTCGGATATCCTGGTGGGAGATGAACTTGGGGTATCCAAAGCCCAGAGAACTCTCATCCAGGGAACCTCGCCAAGTTCCCGGCTTTTGGAAATTCTTCCAGTTTGGGTCAGGGTGGAAGGTCTCAGTGACATGCTGTGGCTTAGCCAGCCCAGGGTCACTCTGATCCAGCAGGGAAAAGGTGACACGGCGGGCAAAGGGCCACTCAAGGAGATTGTCAAAGGCGCCTGGCAGCACACGAATATAGAGTGAGAGATGTGTGCCCTCTCCACTGCCATTGCCGTTGAGGAATGCAGACACTTGCAGCTTATAACCATACTTATGTGTGTAGAAGGCTGGGCTGAAGCACTCGAGGTTAGGCTTGGCCTTAGCCTCCTGTAGCCGCCGTCCATAGCTACCAATCTTCCAGATGAGCACCCCATCGCTGCCAACAGATAGCTCCTCCAGCTCTCGCCTCAGTTCCTGCAGCTCCTGCCGCTGCCGGCTCACCAAGGCACACATCATAGCCAGATGTGGCTTCACACTGTCCTCCACGTGCCGTGCCATTGCGAGCTTAGGGCACTGTTGGCAAAGTCCCAAGCCATGGGGGAAAGGAGAGTTAGTGGAGGGGTAAGGTCCAGGGGAGAGGAGAGGATTGGGGATGGGACAGCATGCGCCCAGGTCTGCATGAGAGGATTCCAGGAAGAAGCTGGAGCTGGCCAGGAGAGGGAAGAACTAATGCATTCACACCAGGAAACCTATCCCCCATCTAGGGCAGCGATGGCAAATCTTTTAGCACTTTCAGTAACAAACAGCTCGCTGCAGCTGTGTGCCTTAGGTCCCCCACCACTGATCCAGAGCTTCCAGGACTAAAGAAAGGAGGCATCTCACCCTGTGCTTGCAGCCGGAGTCTTTGAACGGGCACAGCACTAAGGCAGTGCTGCAACTGTCCTTCAGATGGCCTGGCAGATCCTCCCGAGCCACAGTACCCACACCACACTGGTTGGGGCAGGGCACTGGTAGCCTTGGGCACTGGTACTGGTGGCTCTAGGACCACAGAGGCAGAGGCAGCAGTCAATAGCCTAATCCTGTCACCTGTCCCCACAGCCCACGGCTCAGCAAAGGCCTTACCTGGATGGTGTCGAAGACAAACTCCTTGGTACAATAGCTGCAAGCCTGGGTACGCTTGGGGCACTCAGAGGTGGCGTGCTGGGCCAGCAGTCGCCGCATCATGCGGGCACCACACTTGTTCTCACAGTATATACTCTCCTGAGGGCACATGCCCTCGTGGCTCTGTGGAAATGCCAAGGTGTCTTGAGTTAAGGGATGACTGCCTGAACTAGCAGGTGCTCCGTTCTCCTTCGACATTAGCCAGACCCTTCTCACCTCATAGGCCTCCCCACTGAAGTCACAGCCACAGAATTCGCACTTGAGGCGCCGCTTGGGGCAGTCGTGCTGCAAGTGTGCGGGCAGATCACGGCGGCTCAGCTTGGTAGGGCAGCGATTGGGGCAGGGGACTACATTGAAGTTGCAGGTACTCAGGTGGCCCTGGTAGGAAGGGCGCTGCAGTCAAGTGCCTCACAAGGGATGGACAGCCCCAGCCCCTCCTCGTCAACCACATCAGAGCCTCACCTGTAGATGTCGAAGTGGCCCGCTCCAGCGGCAGCCCTCTTCACTGTGGATGCAGCGGATAGGTAGGCCTAACACTTGGACCTCCAGCTCTGGATCTGGGTAGATCTGGGGGCAGGGATGGGGGAAATGGCCAGAATCAGAGCCTGCTGCAGCTCCCACCTCCATGTGGGATGGCTCTACCTTAGAGCCAGTAAATGCTTCTCTTAGGCAAAGGCCTCTCTCAGGCTATTTGTTGCTCTGTGCACAAGGATTAAGGGCACAGCAGGTGGTGTCTGCTTTGACTCTGGATATGAGTACCCAACATGTCTGTACATGACAATGCTCCCTTTGGTGAGGCAGCCAAATCAGCCTGCTTAGTCCCAGTGTCCCCCCCACAGTTCTGCTTCCTTTCCCCAGCAGAGGGGTCCTGGCACTTAGCCACAGGTCCAACTTGCCACCGGAAGGGGAGGGAACACTTCTTGTGGGCACAGAGCAGCTCTGTGCACCCCCACAGTCTGGGCATTGTGCCTGCCCTCTAGGGCAAACATAGGCCTCCGTTTGCAAACTGGCCTGATGGGAGAGAACAGGCTACCTTTGTGGGGTACATGATCCTGAGGCTCTGGGTTGACATTGGCCCTGATCCGGCTGGCTGCTGGGAGCTGCAGGCCCCACGAAGGGCAAAAGCCTGCCTGGGATTCTACCTGGCAGTGTAGACTCACCTTGGCATAGTCCAGAGGAAGTTGGTCCTCAGGGCATTTGAAAACTCCTTCACTGAAGAGGGGAGAAGGCATGGTCAAGGCTCATAATTATGGGAGAGCCCAGGCCCCACCTCCTCAAACAGGGCAGCCTCCCTCCCTCACCAGACCGGTTCCCAGCAGAGACAAAGGGGCAAGCAGAGGCATGAAGGGACCCACTCCTCCAGGGCCCCAAAAGACCCCAGCCTTGTCCTGGAAAATAAGGTCCAGGACTCAGTAGAAGCAGAGACAGCTGCTTTCAACAGCACTTGGCCAACAGGTGGCAGCCGGCATCCCCTCCCCCAGGATAGCAGCTGGACTGAGAAAGAAACAAGCTGCCAGTTACCCCCTCCTCCAAAGTATTTTTTCACCGGCTGGAATGAAAGCTGATGGGGAGGGGTGAGTAGGGATGGGCTGAGATTAAGTGCCAGGGCTGCCCAGCTCCCAGGAAGGTGCCAGGCCAAGAAACGGAGCAAAGGTCAATCTGGGGCCACCTTATGCCATTCCTCCCCTCCTCTTTGAGGGTGTGCCTTTAAAAGGAAAGAGGAGCAGGCTGGGGATTTAGTTCAGTGGCACTGTGCCTGCCTCGCAAGCACAAGGTCCTGAGTTCAATCCTTGGTACTGGGGAGGGGGGAGCAAAGGGGAAGAAAGGCTAGATTCCTGGCACTATACTTACATCTCACCAAATCCTCACCACCTGCCTCTGAGAAAGGCTGGAATGTCCCCGTTTACAGGTGAAACCATAAGCAGAGGCTGACAGGTGTACCTGGCTTTGTCTGTGTAACCCCACAGGTCACACGGCTCTACTACCCCACACAGAACACATCACACAGCTTTACTACCTCTCACAGCACACAGAAAAGGGGCTGGGGCAATCCATAATGCACAGGCAAGCACAGCCAAGATCTAGTTACTGTTCCCTAGGTTCCTGAAGCTTAGTGACCCTGTGCCCCTGCCAGCTGCTCCCCTTCTCCACCAATCCCCACATAACTGTAAGCACCCAAGGAGGCTGCTTGCCTTCTTCCTCCAGCTACCATGCACCTGCTAACTCCAGCCAGGACCAGTCACACATGCCGGGCAGGGCCCAGGCAGGGCAAGGGCTCACCCAGCAGGACTGAAGGCCCCCAGGCATGACATTCCTGGCAGGTCTGAGTCAGGTGGGTGGGAGGTAGGCAGGCATCAAGGCGGAAGCCAAAGCTGTAGGCCGCCCTGTTTTGAAGGAATTTTTCCAGGTCCTGGGCAGTCCATGCTCCTCCAGGTGTCCAAAATGATTTCTAGCACCCACCTCCTCCCTGACCATACTACCACTGACCATGCCATCTATGCCAAGATCAATGCATGCCCAGGCACTTAGTGTGCCTGTACCCACAAGGCAAGCAGTCTTCCTGGCCCAACCTGAGTAATAGCCCTGGCAGGAGGAAAGAAGGGTGGGCCAAGGGGGAGGGGGTCCACTTGGCTGCTTCAAGAATGTGCTGACTTAGTGGTTTTGGAGACAGGGAGGGGTCTAAGACAAGTCTTTAGGCTTCAGGCAGCTTTACCCTGCAGCCTGGGGCCCAGCCAGGACAAAGATTTGTAAAGATTTGCCAGAGCTATGGCCAACCTAGCTCGTAGGATAGGGGTGATAGTGAGGTACAGCGTTGGCCCAAACTCCTCTTTCTTCAGAGGTATCTGCAGGAGCACTCCAGAGCTTGGGAAAAGGGGGGCGCAGAAGCTGCTCCAGGCTGTGCAGTGGAGGCCCAGGCCCAGGGGAGAAGACAGGATGGGGGAGGGGCTGTGGGAGAGGAAGAGG